AAATAAATAAAAATAAAATAAAAAATTATATTTTTTTTCCCATCTTTTTGAAACAAGCCAAAAAAAATTTAATCAAATTGCAAAATTAAACAAATGTAAAATAACATTAAAAATCTGTAACTTTGAATAAATATTACATTTCCTTTTAAAAAAAAAATAAATAATAATAATTTATCTGGCGTAAAACAACAGTTTAAACACGTCTGTAAATTTGTCAGAATTTCAAAAATGTATGGTTTTTATTTATTAAATGTATTTATATTATATTGTATATTACATACTATATCTGTATTACATTATTTTCTATATTAAATTAGAATAAATGAGAAAAAATTAACAGTATAAGGATTAATGAAGCATAATTTTGTTTGTCTTAATTTTACATCTTGTTATTTCGCTATATCACAATTTCACCATTTATAACAGTTTTAATTTGTTTATAACAGTCTTGATAATCTCACAGCACATTAATTGCCTGTTGTTGTGTTGTTGTTTTTCACATATACCTAACGATCGCTCATCCAGCCTAAAATGTCAGAAAATTGCACCAATGTTTGCATACTCAAATTCTGACAGACAAGGATTCCAAAAAATAAAAGCATTTAGTTTGTCGTAGAAATGAATCAGTTGTTGTAGATCAATTCTCTCACATCATCTGCAGTTTCTTGCTTCTAGAGTTGAAAGGATCTATATCTAGTGTCATGACCCCACCATCAAAGAGGCACAAGCAAGATTTATTTCAAATACGTGGTGCTAAAAGGTGGTGATTTTTTTTTCCCAGGATGTGCTACGGAGCCGCAATGAAAGCTTCCATCAACTGCAGCTGTGCAAATTTCTACATCAAAGTTCCCCCATTTGCAACGCTCTCACTGAAATGGAATGATGTCAGTAAAATTTCACCCTGTGGTCTGACCAGCCTGTAACACCGGTCACTCTGTGGATCCCACCTAAAGTTGGACCGGACCTGAAGCCACCAACAACTTTGTCAGTCCCTTGAATTCTAGCCTGCACCTGCCTTCACGTGAGCTCATGAATCTGCTGTTTTGCGTACCTGAGCATCCACCAGGAGGTGCCTCATCAGGGTCATGGACTTCTGCATCGTCTCTTTCTCAGGAGGAGGAAAGGGGGGCTCCTCCTGCTCCAGGGGCTTGGGTCCAGTCACCATGAAGCTCGCAATCTGGTCGTTCAGGCTGTTCAGAGACTGCACGGCTAGAGGGACACACGCAAATAAAAACCATGGTCACAAATGGGCCGTTTCTCGTGCAAAGCATGTTTGTCTTTACTGTCATTAGTGCGGCGAACTTAAGGAGTGCAGGGAGGCTTGATGGTGGAATCCTTGCCATACCAGCACACACATATTTGTTGTTTCTTTGCGGATGGATTGCCAACCTCCTACTGAGCAGGAACAGCAGAGATAACACAACAGGAGACCACAGTTTCCTACTGTCACTGACTTTCTCCGTCAACGCCCTCTCTGGTCCACAATGTTCCATGTCGGTATGAGAGCCATCCTGTTTTTGTTTCCCTGTTCTTGCCCTTGTGTGTCCCTGGCAAACCTCTCCTTCCAGGTTTCCTCTCCCACATTTAAAAAAAAAAACAAAAAAAACAGCCACCCCTACTGTATTTCCTCCTCCTCGCACACACACACAGACTTCCTCAACACTCTTCCCATTTGCCATCAACCGACCCCTCGGCCTTTGAAAGGTCGCCGCAAGTATTTCCGAGGCCACCCACATGGTGGAAACGTTGGATAAATGAAAGAGTCGAAGAAAAAGCAATTTCCATATTTTTGTGCCTTTTTAGCATAAGTATCTTTTGTATTTTTCATGAGCTGCTAGGCTAACCCCTAATGCCTCATTATCCATCTTTTGCAGCATTTAAACTTTTCCAAAGCCTCAAACTTACGGCTTTGTCGGTTACAAAGGGAGACGGAGATGCAGTGATCAAGGATTGACCTCGTGTCCAGAGGTCACCTTATGCAAACTCTGAGCCAATAAATCTCTTATGTTTTGCCCGGAATCCTTCGCTGGCACATTTCTTCCAAATAAAGAAATGCAACCTACTAAATCCATATGAGTAGGATGATTTTAGGCCAAGCATCTGGATTGAGTCTTTTCAGGATGCAAATATAAAGCCTCTTTCAGACACAAAAGCCCACGCAAAAAAAAAAAAAAAAAGAGAGAGAGAGAGAGGGGGAGAGAAAGAGCGAGAGCATAGATTAATGTGTTACATAACCACACCAAAAAAAAAAAAAAAAAATCTTTCACCGTGGCTGACATTTTCAAGCAAACAAGCTTTGAGTAGGAAATTTGACAAGTCGGCACTGAAGGCGGCAGAGATAAGAAGGGAACGAGGGAGTTGAAGAGGAAGACTGTGTCCCCTCGAGGTGAGAGTGGAGCAGACGTCAGAATAATGAATACGTGAGCAGGGGCTGGTTGTCGCCCGAGTTCGCAGACACTCTCCGGCCAGTTCAGCTCTCCAAACACTGTCTGAACGCGTAAACATGTGGAACGGCAGCAAGCTGGAGAGTGAGAGTTTGTTCTTTACCCTTTTCAGCTTATATTTAATTGCGGCTGATTTAAAGGCAAAAGGCCACATCTGCTCCTCTGGCTAATTTCAGCATTTTTTTTATTTATTTTTTATTTTTTTGAACTGAAGTGGAAGCTACATAAACACACAGTATGTATGTGAAGCTGGCTGGTGGTCCCAGTCCACAGTTGTGATTTCAGTTGCTTACTCTTAGTGCCCTCTACTGGGCAAATAGCAGATGTGCATGCGTTTCTGACTCAAACTTGTATCCTGAGAACTCGCTGAACTCGCACAGCTTTCAGATATGAAGGGGAAAATGCCAAACACAAAAACATGCAGGAACGATGTGAGCATGTACATGTGGCTCCAATTATACCACTGTGAGTAGGGAGAGCAGATCAGATCAGTGGAGCGCTACTTTTTCTGACTCATAATCCCTTTTAAACACTTGCTGCTAATTTGACTTGTTATGCTGCTTCTTATTTGTCTTCTTACAGTCCACTGACTGGCACCACTGTTTTCATCTATACGTTACTGTTTACTGCTAAACTCAAGGCAAATTCCTTGTGTGCAAAAACCTCCTGGGCTTTACGTTATTTGCTCAAGAGCTCTTTGAGTCTTCTGCACACGAAATACCCATAACCATGTCAGACACACAATGGTAGATACACAAAAAAAATACTCTTATAGGCAATGATGTGAGGTACAACAGTGCAAGCTACTTCCATTCAGCTTTGCTCTAAAGTTGACCTTTAAAATCAAAGTGCAACAAAAAAAAGTCATACTGTGATGATTCTGACAGATATTTCAAGTTCAATATGAATCAAGATTTTAGTAAGAACAGGAATTTTTGGGGCATTTTTCACTAAAAATCTATAAAAATGACGATGCAATTTCTGTGCCGTTTACGCCAAACAAGCTCGTTCTCTTGTCAGAGAATGTGATTTTCTAGGTCGAGGCGTCTCTGGAGCACCTGAACACTTCATTTATGATGGTATTTTGCCGCGATTTTACCTTCATCAACAATGTCAGCTGTCGCAATTTAGAAATTGCACTTAAATATAATGCAGTTGTGATTATATTTCGATTAATTGTTCAGTCCTAGTTTGCAATGCTACGCTTTAACATCCACATTCCTGGAAATCTGTCAATTCACATGAACATACTGTTAAAGTTGAAGGTGGTGCTGGACTGCATTATGCTGAGGTGTTTCTGTATATTCATATATATTAGAAACTATTCTTGAAGTCCAGTTGCTATGAGTTACACCTCAACACTAGAGTCAAAAACTTGATCATTACAGCCGCCATAAAAGAATAAACGTGGATACTGGATTTCATCAGATTGCAGCAGACTTACAGTCCGATCCTATTATCACAGAAATCATTGATTTATTTATTGCATATGAAATCATGCAGTGTGACGAAGACTCTTAAAGACTAACAACAGATCAGATAAACTGCCAGCGTTATGTAAACATCAGTCATAAAATTAGAATTCATAGCCATCGATCATGAAAGCTGCACTTTACGCAGAAATCAATACAGATGTTTTGTAGCAGCGCGGTGGATCCCACACACGCGGGAGCCTTTACTCTGCATAATTAGCATCAAACAATGATTGTCTGGTCGTCAATACTGCAATCATTACGCCCCTCTGAAGCAACGAGGTACGGAAAGAAAAAAAAAAAAAAAGCTTGGGAGGCGTCGTTTCACTGACAAACTATTAACCAAAAAAAAAAAAAAAAAAAAGCTTGGGAGGCGTCGTTTCACTGACAAACTATTAACCAGTTTAATGAAGCACACAAGCGATGCTTTTCCTAAAAGGTGTTATCAACAAGAATTGATTTCCACATAAACACACTTCATCAAGGACAACTCTCTCATCCTACACATTATACTTCCTGACACTATAAACCAAACATTTATTGACTATATATTTAATCACATTATAGAATCTGATGCTTAGAGGCACTATTTCTTCAATCATAAAACATTATAGAATACAGTTTTATAAGCTGTAATTCACATCGCCACATGTAGACGTCTTTACAATGTACATATTCTGTGATATTCTGCTAAATAAACCAATATATCACCGTGACGGAGTAATTAAGAGCGACGGCTGCCGAGGATAAGGATGCAAAATGCACCAAACTGCAGGGATTGTCATTCTGCGTCTTCATCTGAAAACCTGAAATAGATTTCACCTGCAGCTCGCCTTCAGCAAATATGAAAAGTGATGAAAGCGAGGCAGAGGTGCGCAAGTGGGAAGGAAAAATAAAGATGAAATTGCAGTAGTTAGGTTACAATAGATGCAAAGAAAATAAAATTGTCATTCCAGCTCAGTCTCTGCGCCTTTTCTGTCTCTTTCCCACTTTCTGTCGTCTCCCTTTTCTTTATTATTTTTTTCTCTCCTTGTAACTGGGTCTTGCCGGCATAGAAAAATCTCAAAGTGCCTTACATGTCCTCCTATAGTGCAGGTACAGCACAACAAATGAACAGGAGAGGCCACAGTGGCGTCCCATCAGGCCTTTATCTTTTTTCAGGAGGGAGAACTGTGGGTGCCAGAGGAAATAAGATCACTACCAATGAAAAATGTTTGAAAGAATGTATGCAGCAAACCTAATAGGATAAGGTGCAGTAGTCGGGCTAAAGTCGAGATAAAAGGGGCTTATTTCATGGGGATTGTTCGCAGCACACATGAAATCTTGGAGAAATGTTGAGAAATACGGAGAGCAATGAGCCAAAATCCATTTTTGGGGGGTACTTCTGATGCCAGACTTACACTTGCTGCTGTTGCGCCACACACACAGTACAAAGTCACACTCATCCAAGTTCTTGATTTAAGTGTGAAGTATCAAGAAACTTGACTCGAAACTGCACATCAAGCGTCTGCCGCATGCAAAATAGTATCGAATACTGTTGGCATTGTTCACTGCGGCCATTAACTAACGTGCATTTTCAGAGAGGGGAAACATTTCGCTCTCTGTGTTAGAAATCATAATATAATTCAGTTCAAGTTGTGAATAACATTATCATACATTTCTTATTCTAATGTATTCTCCTGAGCAGGATTTCTGGCACAACCTCACCTATTTGCAAGGTGAACGGAGAAGGACAGTCTTGAAGCGCTAAATCTCCACGCAACATATTAAGCAGCGAGTAAGAGCTTTAAGAAGGAAATTGTTATTTTCATGCTCTCAATGCTGCAGGTTTTGCTGCTTTCTGTATTCTCTGACAATCTAAATCTAGCAGCCGTGGCCTTTTACAGGTAATGAACCAACACTGGTTTATGTGGGTTTTTCCGTCAAAGAACTTGCTCACTGTTTATTGCCAGACATAGAAAGTGAATTTAAAAAAAAGGTCTTAATAGGACTGTTGCTTACTTTCCATGGGAGGTTGAATTAAGAGATTCAGTAGCCACTTAATGGAGGTATCCACACAGGGAGTTCTCATTTTGTGTTCACCTTGATGAAACTAATTCCTTCGGTACTCAGCTGGAACCTCGTGGTTTATTGTGTGCACAATTAAGCACAACTTAAAATAACACACCTCTTAAACATCTGCCAAATGGAACAGATGGGCTGCGAGAGGTGTAAAGATAAAAATTAATGAAAGTCTACATCCCAAGTATGTGTGAGATCATTAAACAGCATCATTAACATCATAATAATAGTT